GGTCATGTGCGTCGGGTAACACCTCGGCTGCCCGGGAGCCTTCGGGCGTGCCGGCCCTGCACGCAACGCAGCCCATTACCCGAGCTCCTGGACATTTACTCGGCTCCTCCGGCTCAGCGCGGACCAGAGCTGTCATTTTTAGTTCGCGTTTGCAGGAGCTTTTGAGACGAAAGGAGAATGCAATGGAACGCGCGCGCACACATACGCATACACAGGATATTTATGTATATATGTATATATATATATATATATATATATATATATATATATATATATATATATATCAAAATGAGCGTCAACCGCGGGCGAAGATTCGCTATTTTGAAGCCGTGCAATTTTACAGCCGCTGTTTACCATCATGAGCTCTTTGGCAGGTCGTGATGGAATGGGCGAGGGGCCTGCGTCGCAACCGGCATGTCTTACTGCTTCTTAATATCTGAAAGACTCCGGGGCAAGAGGTTGCTGGGCTCGTCGCTCGCGTAGGCAAGGCTGACGATTACTGATTGAAAGAGGCTGCGGCCGACCTTACAGCGCATTCCACCTGCCGCTGCAAAGGGCTCGAGGGCATGCGGCTAAATAAGAACGCCAAAGTTAGCGGCAAGTATCCTTCTTCCCGCGAAGAAGGTGACGTAGGGCTCTCGCGCCCATGCCTCGCGACGTTCCACAAAGCCCATACACCTCAGACTCTCTCTCTCTCTCCCAAGACAAGCATCAAAGGGGGAAACAACACTGGGGAGGAATTTCCTTCCGAGATCCACACCTCCCTCACGATTCTCCACCTGGGACTCGAGAGCGACACCTGAGATCACAGCTTCGCCCGCAGATCACTGATTACGGGTTTATGACAGCCGTTGCTCACATGAATGGCGGTGGCGCTGAGGCTGGGCTTCAGTCGCCGGCAACCACACTCTGTGGCGGAGGCGAAGAGGTGTTTGTTTGAGAATCGCGTTAGTAGTCATTGTAGTTGCAATAGTAGTTGCCGCGGTAATAGTAAATGCACTAGTAGTAGCAACAGCAGTAGTAGTAATAGTAAATGTAGCAGTAGTAGTTGTAGTAGTAGCGATAGTAGTAGTAGTAGTAGTAGTAGTAGTAGTAATAGTATTAGTAGTAAAACAGTAGTAAGAAGAGATTCGTAATGGAGAAGTAAGGGATCGGCAATAACTTTGCGATAGTTACAAGAAAAAAAGAAAAAGAAAAAAACATCAGTGAAAGCTGTAGTGGAAGTAGTAACATGCACAATAACATTAGTATCGGCAGAACAATAAATGTAACAATTGTCGTTTGTGGCGTCATGAACAAGCAGGAGTGGTAACCGTCCCCTTACAATCTCCTGAACAAACAGCAAACAACGAAATAACCTGCTTCAGAATGGCCATTAAGCTCTATGGTTTGGAGTACAGCGGGCGAAAAAGGCACGTGTGAACGACTTAATAAATAACAATAAACAGAGTTATTGGAGACAATTGCGGGAAGAAAGAGGCGGAGCGACTGAGTGACAACAGCGTGAGGAGGGCAGAGGTGGTGTCAGGCAGAATGTATGATGGCATTACGCTCATGGTGGACAGGTGTAACGTTACCTGTGAAATGAAACCTCATTAATCTAACCGCCGTGGCTGTCCACCGTCACCCCCTGGACCTGCTATCACCCCCCCTCAGCCCCTGAAACCCCCTGAACCTGCTATCACCCCCCCCTCAGCCCCTGAAACCCCCTGAACCTGCTATCACCCCTCCTCAACCTTTGAATCCCCCGGACCTAGAATTACCCCCTCCTCAACCCCTGGACGTCTCTGGCCCTACCACATCCCCAATGCCTGAAACCCCATGGACCTGCAACCACGCCCAGTAACCACCGCCTCCCTCCATGCAGTCCCTACACCCCTCCCTCCCCCCTGCAGTCCCTACACCCCTCCCTCCCCCCTGCAGTCCCTATACCCCTCCCTCCCCCCTTCTCCCCCGCGGTCGCCGATACTTCGAAGCACTTGTTAGTTCTAAAACGAGCCACTCATTCTATAATTTCCCTGTAGGGTTCCCTCAGCTCCTCCACTCCCCAGCAGGCACCCCGCTCTCCACGAAGGCCATATATCGCTCCCCGGAGCTTCCTCCTCCCCCTTTTCAAAGCCCTCTTCTCCCCTGACGACACCGCAAATGTGCGTGCAAGCGAGCTGGTGACTGCGCCTTGTAATGAGAGAGCCGCGTCGGAATGCTCGCTCGCCCTTGTAGCAGTAACAGCCAGGACCTGCGGCAGGGACCTTCGCTCGACGCAGCCATCCTCGTCGGCGGCGTTCGTGCGGCAGATGCACTTCCGCAAGCACTTCCAAGCACATCATTGACCACCTCAGACGCGCGCTTTACTCCCTGGGTAATGAAGCCTAAGTTTCTTTTCTTCCGAGGGGCCGTTGAAATAGATTATAGCGTCTCAAAAAGTCAGGAGCTCATTTTGAAGGAAGCAGATCGAAAGACCCCAAAGGGAAGCCTACTTCGCGACCTAAAACCTCGTCCTTTGCCTTCACTTTCGGGGGTTCCGGCAACCTCGCGCCTCGGCACTCAATGATCGCTCCTGCCGTCCCTCGCCGCCGACTCGATCGCCCGGCGCCAGCATTTCACGCCGATAAAACTCATTTACCGTGATACGGGAAAATATAGACATAAAGCGAATTGTATTTCTATTAAGAAACGATATCCTCCCGCGTAGCTGTTACTACGTTGCACCGGGCGTTTGAAATTCGCTGGGGCGAAACCCGATTATCTGCGAGGGCGGTATGCGAGCCAATTCACCCTCGACGGAAAACAACAATTAGCCGGAAATTTGAGCGCTGTTTCGCACGGGACCCGCTCGCCTCCCCGGCGCTCGCGGAGACTCGCCAATTTTAATGCAAATATGAATGGTGTTGGTCAGCGCCGCAAAAACGAGGTACGATTAGTATTTCTCTCGGCGAAAAGGCTTCACCGCGTTGATTAAAAAGTACTCTCGCCTAGGAAGATGTGGGATATATATATATATATATATATATACTTGTATATATTCTTATATACATATGTATATGTATATACATATTATATATATACTTGTATATATTCATATATACATATATGTATATATATATGTTTATATATGTATATATATACTTGTATATATTCATATATACACATAAACACACATACATGCCCTCTGTACTGCCATAGAATCGCACGCCCTCCCGGCAGCAAATAGAGACGTCGAGGCGTCGGCGGCCAGATGGGCGCGCTGGTGGCCGGTGTCTTATCACTCTCGAATCTATTAACTCGGCCAATTTGTGGGTCGAAAAAATGCAATTATATGCAAATGATCTCATGATATTTCTGATAATCCTCAATCATTGAACATAATCAAGGGCAAAAACTTTATTCAACATTTTAGGGAAACAGGTGTGCGGCTCTAACATCTGGTGACCGATTCATGAATAACTTTGTCGGAGAGAGAGAGAGAGAGAGAGAGTGAGAGAGAGAGAGAGAGAGAGAGAGAGAGAGAGAGAGAGAGAGAGAGAGAGAGAGAGAGAGAGAGAGAGAGAGATGGAGATGGAGAGAGAGAGAGAGATGGAGAGGAAGGGAGAGAGAGGGCGGAGCAAAACAGACAGACAAACTGATAGGTAACTCTGTATATGCATGTACACAAATATATACAAATACATATACTTACGTACGTAGATACATCCGCACATCCATCCATACATACATACATCAATATTTACATATTCATAAACTGCATATAAAGATGCACTCAAAGGAGTTAACGTAGAAAATGCGCATTAGGTCTAAATTCCCGAGAAACTGGTTTATAACGAGACACTTATCTGAAAAAAAAAATCCACACACAGGTAAGGAAGCGCAGATATGCAAACACTTATCGTTACAAATATGAAGAAGTGCCAAGACCGTCATTATCGGCGATGAACTAATAAGGAACAAGGAAAATGGGAAGACTTTTAAAAAGTGGTTCACATAGAAAATAAAACACGGCCAACAACCACACATTCTAATGACTAAATCGATAAAAAAACAAGAAAAACATTTACAACGACAACTTTACAGACACGAACAGACTCACAGATATAGAGGATACTAGGGAGGCATAGAGGGGATTTTAACCAACGAAGTTACGATATTTGAACTAAAGCGGACAACATTTTATAGCCTTTTATTTACCCGATGAACGTAACGGCATCATGCAGCTTTTGTCACAAGAAGCCTAAATTGGGACCAGAATGCATGACACAGCAATCTGCATGTATTAGGACGGTGCATGAACGAGCGGCCAAGGGATCTGGCAGCAGCTCAGACACGCCTCCAGAAAGACTTAACAGTTAGGAAGAACTTTCGACTCCAAGTACTGAACTTGAAGCGTTCCGACCATTGTCCAAGCATAAAAGCACATTTAGAAGAAGAAGAAGAAGAAGAAGAAGAAGAAATATGCCTATCAGTCTTCTTCGACTTTCCAATTCTTCTGCTTATTTTTCCTATGCACACTTTCCGTCCATCTGTCCTGGACTGAGTGAAACTATGAGACCTTTTATGGACAAGAGAAATCAAATTAGAAAATGGGTAGTGGAGTCAAAAAAAAAGAGAGAGAAGGTTGGGGGGGGAGTGGAGGGGGGGGGGAGGGAGGAAAAAAACACAAAAACAAAAGCAAATTTAAAATAATAATACACCCTTCACTCCAGCCATAAAGGTCAGGCTGTCTTCAAGGTGTTGTCACATCAAAGTGCGGGTTCTTTTTTTTTTTAGTTTTTAATTTATTTTTTTTTTAAATCCAAAGACACTTCTCTTGAATAGCTTACTTTCCAGCGGTACAGACAAAGGAGCATGAGTCTCACCTGACATTCTCACACACCATTTAAAAACAAGGTTACTTTCCCATGCAGAGAGCACAGGAAAATAAGACTCAGCGATAGGGTCACTAGAGTCCATTCTCGCATACACCGATGGATACCAATAATCATAATACCATAGAAACATTAGCTTACCTCATGTTCCCGCTTGAAAGGGAAATATTGCATTTCCGGTGGGGGATGAACATACTCTTGCATTCCATACATGGCGGCGACGGGGTCAGTTTGGCCTCACACCTTTTGAGTGTTACGAGACTTAAAATAAAACGTTACTGTCGTTCGTTTGTTGTTGTTTTTTTAATTGTTATTATGTATTTAGGTAATTCTTTTTTTTTATTTTTTTTTCTCTCTATCTTTTTTGTTTTTGTTTTGTTATTTTCTGTCTCAGAGTACGGTTCTTTGTATAAATCTTAGGCTAAGTATACAGGATATACATGAACACTTCCTGTACGAGTATACATATGCGTTTGGGCTCGTATACAAGAGCACTGAGTTCCTTCTCTATTTTTTTGTTTTTTTTGTTTTTTTGTTTCGTATTTTGTTATTTCCTTTCGTCTCTCACTGGCCGAGCACCACTGGCTGAGTGTACCATATATTACTATACAGAGTCGGGCACCCTATATTGCACTAGGGTACAGTACATAGCACATGAGTAGCACCAACTGTTTATTTTTGTTTTTGTTTTTCGCTTTTGGTTTATTGGTTTGTTTGTTCTCTTTTATTGACAGCAGGATTTCCGTATTATGCATTCGTTGACTGTCGTTCGCTTTGTTAGTGTTCGTTAAACTCTCTGTTTCAAAAGGGTGACAGGAGAGAGGGTTAATCAGGTGTGAAATTTCATTAAACTCTTCAACAACACGACAGAAACACACGTATAACAAATCTTATGCATACAGAACAACCTCATGTTTACAGAATGCGGCATTAGCATAGCGAAAAAATACTAAAGAAAGAAAAAAAAAACATAAGTAAAAACAGCAACAAAAAATGAAATTGTCCCAAGAAATGCTCAATAAGGAATATGTGAGTCCACGTATCATCCTGTCATGAATATGGTAGTTGACACGGGCACGTTACGTCAGACTGCCCTTAACATGTCACCAAGAGAAAAAAAAAGAAAAAAAAATATGTCATGGGCTAAATGTCTTGAAGGAATTATTCAGGTCACATATCTCAGACTCATTTCCTTTCTCTTATCTACTGATCTTTTCATTATATATTATTGCTCTGATAAGAAAAAGGAAAGAAGTCTGTTAGGTTGACTGTCAGGAAGAAAGCTCGGTCATATGTCTTGATTTTCCCCTCTCTTTTGTCTATTTATTCATCTATCATCTATCATCTATCAATGATCTATCACTTCTTGTCAGAAACACTGTCTTGATAAAATTGTATCTCAGTCTTGCTGTCATTAAGCGAAGGGAGGACATTTAAAATAGCAATTAACTTCCAAGCTTCATACAAGTACACTGAAGAGAAAACACACAACCTAAATATTGTCTTAGGGAGAGGGAGGGGGGGGGGGGGAGCACACAGAACCAGTAGCACATACGTCAAAGGATCGTCTTAGGCAACCTGTCTATAAAGAAAACATATACATAAAGCTACATGTCAAAGGGAACGTGTCAAGCTGGGAACATTAAACGTCTGGTAAAGGGAAAAAAAAACTGATGATAATAACAATAAGAATAAAAAAATAAAAAAAAGAAAAGTAGCACATCATATACACATGAGGCAGTCTATAGCTCGTCTAAGGGTAAAGCACGTCTTGAAGTAAACATATATATGGAATAAGCATTTCTAAAATGAAACAAAAATATTACAGAGAAACAACAACAAAAAAAGAAGCAACTTGTCTTTACGACACACCTAAAACAACTTTCCCTCCCTTTCCCTGCCCTTTTTTCCCCCTCTCCCTAGATAATGATTTCCTAATTAAAAAATCCGACTTCAACAAATGTCGCTTCGTGACCATAAAATATAACGCAAACTTCCACAGACACAGACAGTCGTTGCAGCACCCTTTACGGCACATCCGGGACTCTTTCTAACACAGCATCTTGCGAGATACAGCCTCTCCCGGGGTGGACGCTCATCCGGGGGGCGATGGAGAGGTGGGGGTTTCCTTGTTCTCTTTTTTTGGCATCATTTCGGTTTGGGGCAAGTGTAAGAAGAGGAGGAGGAGGAGGAGGAAGAGAAGGAGGAGGAGGAGGAGGAGGAGGAGGAGGAGGAGGAGGAGGAGGAGGAGGAGGAGGAGGAGGAGGAGGAGGAGGAGGAGGAGGAGGAGGAGGAGGAGGAGGAGGAGGAGGAGGAGGAGGAGGAGGAGGAGGAGGAGGAGGAGGAGGAGGAGGAGGAGGAGGAGGAGGAGGAGGAGGAGGAGGAGGAGGAGGAGGAGGAGGAGGAGGAGGAGGAGGAGGAGGAGGAGGAGGAGGAGGAGGAGGAGGAGGAGGAGGAGGAGGAGGAGGAGGAGGAGGAGGAGGAGGAGGAGGAGGAGGAGGAGGAGGAGGAGGAGGAGGAGGAGGAGGAGGAGGAGGAGGAGGAGGAGGAGGAGGAGGAGGAGGAGGAGGAGGAGGAGGAGGAGGAGGAGGAGGAGGAGGAGGAGGAGGAGGAGGAGGAGGAGGAGGAGGAGGAGGAGGAGGAGGAGGAGGAGGAGGAGGAGGAGGAGGAGGAGGAGGAGGAGGAGGAGGAGGAGGAGGAGGAGGAGGAGGAGGAGGAGGAGGAGGAGGAGGAGGAGGAGGAGGAGGAGGAGGAGGAGGAGGAGGAGGAGGAGGAGGAGGAGGAGGAGGAGGAGGAGGAGGAGGAGGAGGAGGAGGAGGAGGAGGAGGAGGAGGAGGAGGAGGAGGAGGAGGAGGAGGAGGAGGAGGAGGAGGAGGAGGAGGAGGAGGAGGAGGAGGAGGAGGAGGAGGAGGAGGAGGAGGAGGAGGAGGAGGAGGAGGAGGAGGAGGAGGAGGAGGAGGAGGAGGAGGAGGAGGAGGAGGAGGAGGAGGAGGAGGAGGAGGAGGAGGAGGAGGAGGAGGAGGAGGAGGAGGAGGAGGAGGAGGAGGAGGAGGAGGAGGAGGAGGAGGAGGAGGAGGAGGAGGAGGAGGAGGAGGAGGAGGAGGAGGAGGAGGAGGAGGAGGAGGAGGAGGAGGAGGAGGAGGAGGAGGAGGAGGAGGAGGAGGAGGAGGAGGAGGAGGAGGAGGAGGAGGAGGAGGAGGAGGAGGAGGAGGAGGAGGAGGAGGAGGAGGAGGAGGAGGAGGAGGAGGAGGAGGAGGAGGAGGAGGAGGAGGAGGAGGAGGAGGAGGAGGAGGAGGAGGAGGAGGAGGAGGAGGAGGAGGAGGAGGAGGAGGAGGAGGAGGAGGAGGAGGAGGAGGAGGAGGAGGAGGAGGAGGAGGAGGAGGAGGAGGAGGAGGAGGAGGAGGAGGAGGAGGAGGAGGAGGAGGAGGAGGAGGAGGAGGAGGAGGAGGAGGAGGAGGAGGAGGAGGAGGAGGAGGAGGAGGAGGAGGAGGAGGAGGAGGAGGAGGAGGAGGAGGAGGAGGAGGAGGAGGAGGAGGAGGAGGAGGAGGAGGAGGAGGAGGAGGAGGAGGAGGAGGAGGAGGAGGAGGAGGAGGAGGAGGAGGAGGAGGAGGAGGAGGAGGAGGAGGAGGAGGAGGAGGAGGAGGAGGAGGAGGAGGAGGAGGAGGAGGAGGAGGAGGAGGAGGAGGAGGAGGAGGAGGAGGAGGAGGAGGAGGAGGAGGAGGAGGAGGAGGAGGAGGAGGAGGAGGAGGAGGAGGAGGAGGAAGAGAATCGCCCCGACGGCCTCTGCCCTCTCGCCGACAGCGCTCATTGCAGACCCATCAACGAAACGAAAATAAGATGAAGGAGGGAAGGAGGAATAAGGAATAGAGAGTGGAAGGCGAAAACGACTTGAAAAAAAGAAAAACGAATTGCAATGGGAAAAAGGGAAACGTATCTTTGACGAGGGCGAAAATAATTGAAATAGATGCGATCAAAATCAGTATTGAATAGCAGAAATTGAAGGACCAATAGTGATAATAATAAACAGAACAAAACGAGAAAGCAATATTAGATTAAGAATGTAAAAATAAACAATAAACTATAAAGTTGAAAAAAAAATTACAAAAACAGCAAAGGAAAACGAAAACAAAGTGATGATAAGGAAACCAGAAGAAAATTCACGGGAAGAAGATTTGAATAAATAAACGAAGACAAAATCAATCACCCCCCCCCCCCCCAGAAAAAAAGGATGAAATAACAAAAACCAAGAACGCCTCCATAAATCAACACAAACCACACAAGCATATATATATATACTTGTCCGCGAGTGTTTATACACACACACACACACACACACACACACACACACACACACACACACACATACACACACACACACACGCACACACACACACACACACACACACACACACACACACACATATATATATATATATATATATATATATATATATATATATATATATATATATACATAAACACTCGCGGACAAAATAAACACAAACGACTTCCCCAAAGAAGGAAAACGGAGAAACCTAAAAATCTTACGAGAGCAGCCGAACGACGCTCCGGCCACCAAGATCTCTCCCGCACTTCCAGGAGGGGTTGCTCAAGGATCGCTTAACCTCAGCCAGTTCCTTCGGCCTGATAACACTATCGATTTATGCGTCTATGGGCCCCCAGGAAGGAATAGATCCCTGTAGACAGCCGCGCTTGACACTCACTGGGACACTCCTTTGCTTAAACCCACGGCACACACATACGCACAGACACGCACACACACAGGCGGACGCTCGACCGACAACGGCCACGGAAGGATGTTGGTCTGTTACGTAAAGGCTCCGGCAGTCGATTGATAAGGACTGTATCTCAGTTTTCTAATAAAAGGGGAAGTGGGAAAACATGACGATTGAGGAGAGAGCGAAAGCGAGAGAGAGAGAGAGAGAGAGAGAGAGAGAGAGAGAGAGAGAGAGAGAGAGAGAGAGAGAGAGAGAGATGGGGGGAGGGAGGGAGGGAGGGAAGGAGATAGGGGGCGGGGAGACAGCACTAGATCATGATTTAGTTAATTAGTAAATCTTAATGAAAACTTATGACAGCCATCGGGACGACTTCAGGATCTGTCTCTTAAGACAATAACGAACGATCGCAGAAGATAACAAAGGAGACAAACACGCAAAAAGAACAAACAAGCACCGCCCCTCCCTCAGAACAAATAAACAAAACTGCGAGACAATGGTTACCTCCAGAACGACTTCCAAATTAGCTCGCGCCGATAAGAAAGCGACGACTAATGGCGCCATAACGACCCGCGGCCGACAAGGAGCAACCCTAAAGACTCGGCGCTATGCAAAGACGACCACCTCGCGCGCCTCCCTCGCCTCGCGCCGCTTAAACGGCCTCCTTCGGCTCCGCGGCCCCGTCGGAGCGCTGGCCCCTCGCCCTCGGGGATGGCGCGTCAGGAGCTCCGCGCCCTTGCCCGTCGGAGCCGGGTTTCCCGCGACGGCGAGCGCCGAGCGGCGAGAGGCGCGCCGATAACCCGGCGCGACGCCTGCACCTGGCATTAGGGCGGCGGGAGGCCGCGCGGACGCGGCCAGAGTTAACGTCGTGTGGAAGAATTATGGCGACGCTGATGCTCAAAAATCACCGCTTTTTTTCTTCTCTAAACCCGAGATTCTGGGGAAAGTTTAGCATGCGATCACGCTGGATCTCGCGTCGGAGAGATGCGTGCGCGCGCGCATGCTCCCTCGCGCACAGACTTTTATGCACGTGTGTACATTTTCCTCCCACTTTCTCTTC